ACTCGCACACGACTTTAATGTTTCATGAATTTCATAACTGTTATAAATTTAGTAGTTGTGGCAATTTTTTAATAAACACTAATAGTGTTTTTTACATTATTTTCTATTATTTTTGTAATTAATATAATAACTCATAAATTTAATAATGTTTCATGAATTTTATAACTGTTATAAACTTAGTAGTTGTTTAACTATTATAAAAGTTAATTATTAACTAAAAACTATTAAAAAAAATTAAGTCAACTAAAAATTAACTATTAAAATAATTTCTTTTACTTTATTTTAGATATTATATTATTGTAAATAATAAAATAATTAAGAAGCTAAATGTTCATGAATTTCATGAACAGTTATAAATGGAGTAGTTGTTAAAGTGTTATAAATGTATTTACTGTATTTGGTGGATTGAAATTTTATTTATAGTTTTATGCTCGTGTTTCATACATTTTTCATCGCTTAAGCGTAGGATGGCGACGTTTTTAATCTCAACTGTGGACCGAAACCTGAAATGTGCTTGTTAGTTGTGAATTCGATAATCTCTAAAATAAATTTTTTTCTAATTTATTTTAAAAATTCCAATGAAGTAGTAAAGTAAGTATAAACTGGTCACTCTACTTAAGAGTGAACTTTTGTTGAATTCTGCCCCAAGAGTTCCATTGATTGATCCATAAATACAGGGATTAAAAGTTCAAATTGAAATTATATATGTTTTGATCACGTGATTCTTATCTTATCAATTTTTCTACCAGACTTGCATATTTTTTTTTGCATTTTTAAACGTGTCGAACTTTGTACGTATATTCCTTAAAAATGCTTATTCACAAAAAATGTTTAACAGGTGATATTGATAACCTAATTTTAGATAGAAGTGTTTCGAATCAGGAGATTCAAAACTTAACTGATTAAATCAATAAAATTGCACTTACCGCACCTCACTCTTGCACCTATGCAAAAGCTTCGTTAGAACACTCGCTTGTAGAAATTTTGTTCCCATTTCTATCAACTATTACAGGTCAATAAAACAATTTTATATTTATTTATTTATTATATATATTTTAACTAATTTATTGAAAACGCAGCGAAATCACACTAGACCTGAGCGAACACCTCAAAATAACTGCGAGTAAAAACCTAACAAATCTGTACAGCAATGAAAAGTTTACAATTTCTTTTTTTTGTTTTGCTTTGTCTTTGATTGTGTTTTTATTTTTGCTATTGTTTTTATGATAAGTTTTTGTTTACATCTCTTGTTTTGTTTATTTTTAGTTCGGACTTTGTTGTTGTGCCGTTGACTCTTAGTACTCATTATCGGTCGTTTAGAAAGTGCATAGAACAGAAGGGAAAAATATTATAGGAAAATGTAAAATTTATTAATAAAAGCTGTCAATATACGATTGGACGAGGGTTGCTACGAAAGCTATTAAAAATGTTTGAAGTTAATTGTATTGATAATTTGATTATTTATAAATATTAAATAAAATATTTATAACAAGTGGAAATCATTACATATATACATATTTTTAATTTAAACAAAAACATGAAATTTGTTAGTTTTGCAGGACAGAAAAGATATGCCGTCTAAGAGTTTACCCGGTACAAATGTATAGGTGAAAATAATACCTTAGTGAGCATTTCGTATCGGATGAAGACATACAATTCTGTTACGTAGGTTCAAAAATACAATTTATAGAGGAAATTGAACTTGGAGGAATACTCTAAATGCATAAAATGGTTACAATAGATCACTTAGTTGCAGTGCAAATTTCCCCAAACATAATAATGATTGAATAATTTATTTAGATATATTTATTAAATATGTCTTTGAAAAATATTTAATTAAAGTTTTAATTTGAAAAAAAAAGTACTAATGATGAGAAATATATATAGTTCGAATGGAAGAAAATACTATAGTTAGAAAATGCTTGTTTGATTCAGAACGGAAAAAATGTCCCCATCTCCGGTGAAAGGACCCGGTGAACAATAATATGAAGGCATTCGGTACTACCAACTGTTGACAACAAGCCACGGATCGACTAGCGAGTGCTATTAGACGCAGCCAAGGATAACTCACGTCTGTATTGGTCAACTACGACATTAGTTAACTGCGACATTGATAATTTATTTGTATCCTGAGATATGATATTCTGTCAAAAGAGACGGTTCCAACTTGTTAAGATTGCACAGTAAACCTAAATTGTGGGTTTTTTAAAACTACTATGTAGATTTCTACCATTCAGTTAGCATGCTTGACTATTAGGTTGAGTTGGGTTAGTAGGGCATTTGCAACAACAATCAGTTGTGCATCTGAATATGGTTATGTTATACTCGTAGGCATTACGGTAGAAAATTTTTCAATAGTAACTTTTAATGGTGTTTGATTTTTACCTTAAAGTCAATCTCATAGAGTTGTAATGCTTACAATTGGACTGTCTAACGGGACAGATACGCAAATAAGCTATCTGTGTGAAAGACATGCTCCGAACACATAATATCACATCAGAGCACGGTATATGGGTCTATTTCACATTAGACCAAGAATTGGGTACAAGTTTTTATGTGGAGTTATAAAAAACACATTTCAAATGCAGAAGTGCGCTTCTAATGAAGAGTATTCGCAATTTTACTGACCAGATGAAGTTAAGCAACATTAGTTGACCTACCTCTAGAGCAGGCAGTATGTAATAGATAAATGATTTTATATAGTAATTATATTTCAACACAGTGTTACGATGAAGGATTGATTTAATAAATTTTGTATATTATTTAATATATATTTTATGACATGTATAGGAACTCACGCAGACGAACTGTGTATTTCTTATAATCCTTATTGCAGAAGTTGTGGAAACCCGCAGGAAAACGAAACCATAATATATTTTCTCTATGAGTGTCCGGCCCTGGCATCCAGAAGAAATTGGTTTTTAGGAAGATACTTCTTTAGCAGTCTATCAGACTGTTCATCGGTAAAGACAAACAACCTATTAGGAACCCATGCAGAGGAACTGCTTATTTCTTATAATCCTTATTGCCGAAGTTGTGGAAAACTGCAGGAAAACGAAACCATAATACATTTTCTCTGTGAATGCTCGGCCCTGGCGTCCAGAAGAAATTGGTTTTTAGGAAGATACTTCTTTAACAGTCTATCAGACTGTTTATTGGTAAAGACAAACAACCTATTAGGAACCCACGTAGAGGAACTGCTTATTTCTTATAATCCTTATTGCCGAAGTTGTGGAAAACTGCAGAAAAACGAAACAATAATACATTTTCTCTGTGAATGTCAAGCCCTGGCGTCCAGAAGAAATTGGTTTTTAGGAAGATACTTCTTTAACAGTCTATCAGACTGTTCATCATCGACAGGATGAATTTAGTTTCTACTCTTCTATACTAGGGATTCTTGCGAGGAATGTGGTAGTAAAACGGCGAAAAATCGCTTATTGATGTACATGGAAGTTATCCAATGGCCTGCCACTGCAACCAACCAACCAACCATGAACCATAATATAAATTAAGTAAAAAATATTTCAAAACAACATACTCGTATTTGATAAAATGACAATTCAGTTTAAATGTTGATTACAATTTAGCATTTCTGGTATAAAAATCTCTCCTACAAATAATCCATATTTTCTATTTACCAATTAGTTAAAAAAATCCACAAACATTTTTCCAATGTGTACAATTAGCCTTCTTATCTATCGCGTTGATGTGACATTAATCGATAGAGACGACAATCTTTCAAGCACGACTAGAAAGATATGACGTTAATTATAGTGATTGAAGTGCTTCTTGGTTTAATGTCTTTAATGTCTTCTGACATGAAAATGGCTGTCCATTATTTGACAATAAATTAATAAACTATAATTAAGATTTAGACAGTAGTAGTAGCAGTTCTTAGGCTACTAACCTTGCTGCTTCGTGAAAGGGAACCGAACTGTAGTGTCTTGAAAGACTTTGAAAGAATTTTGTATTATTTTGAAACTTCAAATTGTTGAATTAATAAATTTAATGAGTGTAATTAATCTGCGTTTTATATTAACAATAGCAATAAATAAAAACTTTAAACATTTAAACATTTTTACCACTAATTGCCTGAATTATTGTATGAAATGCGTTAAAATGGTATTTTTTAATTTCAATGAATTTTTTTTTCAGTTTTAGAGATACAGTACAGTGCAGTACAGATCTTTTTCAAAGGCATTTAAAGGTCAGTTAAGGCCAAAATGAGCTCGTAATTTCTGTCTTAAAAGTCAGTAGGTATCTAAACAACATTCGGTTTTTTATAACTGCCTATATAGATACAGATATTTATATCCATAATACGGATACTCGTATGTATGTTTAGTACTCGTACATACTTTATGGCTACTTTATCTTAATACTAGTATATTAGAGTCGTTCATTATATGAACGGAATATGTTTCGCAAGATTTCTAATTACATTTTAATCTCATTTTTAAACACATATTAATTTCATGAGTTTTGATTTTGAAATAAATACGGAAATATTTGAAATTTTATTGCTTAAGAAACCCAACTGAGCTTAACAAGATACGAGATACTTAATATCAGCAAAAGATTTAATTAAAAATTGAATTTTAATGATCTATGAAAGAATTTACTTAACTTATGGTTTAATGTATCTCAGTAAAGCATATATTAAACGCTTCTATCAATAATAGTTATTAAAAAATTTATAAAAAAATATATTAAGTAGAAAAAAAAACTTTGTTACGGAGTTGTAAACCTGTTAATATATTTAATTGAAAAAAAGCAAAAGTGAATTAAAAAAATTTAATTGTTTTAGTTTTTTAACTTTTACTTAAAAACTATTTTTCATATTTTATATTAAAAAAAAAAAATTATGAAACTTTCTTATTATAAATGAAAGTGCTAGCGCCATCTATTAAGTGCTACCATAAACTCGTGCATGGGAAATTTATATATAATAATATGTATTACTATTAATATAACTGCTACTACTAACTGTATATAAAAATATACACAATAATAATTATTATTTTTAATATATCTATACTGTATTCGGAGCTTAGGGTTTTTAGACAATTGTTTCCAGCTGCTCTATTCCTAATAAGTTGTAACTAGTTCATTAAAAGATTTCTTCAAGTCATTTGGTATAATCTGTTTCAAGCTGCTATTATTTCTAATCACTTTAAACCGTTCATTAAACAATCTGTTAAGCTCTGTCTGAACAATTTTCCTCTAACTCGTTTGAGTTTTGCCATAGTGCTTAGTCTTTAGTGAGTTCCCTATAATAGCAACGTGTGTTCTATATATCTATATATTTCTTCACATCAGTGTTGATGTTAACTTGATTCAATAGTCGCCATAATTCTTTGTTAGAGATGGTCATCGGCCACAGGATTCTTATGATGTTCTATTCATTCATATATTCACTTCTCCAGATCAATCTTGATGTCAACTAATTTGATGTTTGCCAGAGTACTTCGTTAGAGATGATGCTCGTGTACAGGATGCCTTGGATTTATTTGTGAATGGTTGTAATTCTGTTTTTATTTTACTTTTAACTAATCAAATCTATTTAATAAAAACATTCTTTAAAAAAAAGTATTGGCTTTATGCAGCCACAATAATTTTAATACCTGCTTCGTTAAGAAGATTATTGGTTCGCCATATAGTATGTATGAGAAAACTCATGTAGTTTACGTTGTAGAGAATTTCAAAATGCAATTCTAGGATTTGCTAACTTTAACTTTATGTAAGCCCACACATTAGGTTTAAAATACTATAATTTATAATTTAATACTCTATTCAAAAAATTCATTTATATGATTATATTATATATTTTTTTATAGTATAAAAATTACATACAACCTGCACATATGTGACCTAATAACCCATACTTTCCTCTACGTACTTTACTTTCTTGACCATATTTAATGTCCATGTGGTTTTTTATGATGTCGTTGGAATTTTTAATAACTTTAAAATAATTGACGTAATTCGTTAATATTACGTGAGGTATCATAATTAAAATGATGGTAGGTTTAAAAAAAAAAATAAAACTATATTTTTATTATTAACCCTATAATATTTGTAAGAAGGAAGTTAGTGCAGGTGGTATCACAATGGGCCATTAAATGGTCATAGTGTGTCGACAACTATGAATAGCCCATATAACCCTAACCTAATCTAACCTAACCTTCATAATGTTGGTAGGGTGATAAAAAAAAATCAGTTAAACTTCTTCTACTGCAGATTAAAAAGCGAAATATATTGTTGTAATAATAAATTTTTTTTTTTCTTTTTATCTATGATATTATACAGATTTAAATCACTGTGATTATTTAATGTGCTTAAACCTAAAATAAGAGTACGATGTCTTTTATCTTTTTTCTTGAAGTGCTTATTTTATATATACAACATTTTCTAAGTTTAGAAAATATTAAAAACTTTGATTAAAGATTTAATAATAAATAAAAGTTTTTTATGTTAAATTCGACAGATCGAATTAAGATTTGCCAATCGAAAACACTATTAAACTAGAATGCTATAGCCTTAGATCCAGAGATAATAAAAACTAATTAGTTTATAATGACTTATATGATAACTTATAAGGCATTATTTGCTACCTTATAAGGCATTATATGGTACCTTATAAGGCATTATATACTACCTTATAAGGCATTATAATATATAATATCATATAAGCAATTATAAAATTAAAGAATATAATGGCTAAAATTTGGCAAGATTTTTGCTTATAATCTCAATTTTCTTTAAGCCATACAAATTTTTGCTTTTTAACCACTGTATGAGCTCAAGTGGGGTTTGGGCACATGGCAACCACACATACCTAATCTAACGCAGCCACTGTAGACGTAATGTAAATTATTAATGAAGGTGTAGCAATAGCACTCAGTTATTAAATTTAACTTAATTGTTTATAGAACTGTTTATAGAACTTAAATAAATGGATCCCCTCCACAAACAACCCTTTCCCATTCCAAAAAAAAACAAGGTACTTAAGTCCTAATCACTCTGTAGCTTGAATCTACTAACTATAATACCCTTTTTTTTCAAATCAGTAAGCCCTAATTCACGTACCTATAGCTCCTACTCTATACCCACATATTGTCGACAGAGTTTAATACTTTTGAAAAGAACTTGACAATTTGTCAATTTAAAGATAAAAAATTAAAGGCTTTAGGAGAATAACTGCAATAGGCTGAATATAAAGACTATGAGATGCGTTAGATATAATTTATAATTACGTTATAAATTTGTTAATAAATATAGAAATAAATAAATGGAGAAAAAAAATTGTATGTAAAAGTTTTTTTAAGAATTTTGGTCCGATTTACACCTATTTGTGAGCTAAACAATATCTTTCATCATTTTGCCTTGTGTTGTGTTTTTCCTTGTGTTCTTAAAGTTTTGATCGACTTACCCGTTATCGTTGATGCTGCTAACGGCATTCCGGTCACTGCAAATGGAACTTGAGTTACCCATATTTGTTGTTGTTGTTGTTTTTAAAAATTGTCGAAATTTTTAGAAAATTTATAAATAAATTTTAATTAAAAAAATACTTTTGTTTTTGCTTAGTATAAAGCAATACTTCTCCAAATTTTATTAATAAAATTGTTAATATTCTAATATCGTAAAAAAAATTTTTTCTAATTTTATAAAAAATTTTAATATAAAAAATCTTTATATGGCGAAATTTTAGAAATTCACTTTTACTTTAATTTTAGTTGCAATAAAAAAAAACCGTAAGTGAATTGTTTAGTTTTATTTCTTTATTTGTTGTTTTTGTTATTAAAATTATTAATATTTGTTATTAATATTTGTTATTAATATTTGTTATTGGGGTTCGCGGTGAACACACGCGCTTTAACTTCGTAGCTTACAAATCAAATCAAAACTGAATCTGAATTGGAATTTTAAAAAACTTCGTGCGAATACTCGACGGAGTTCAAAACATGAAAAGCGAATTTAAAACGAAACGAAAAGTGAACGTCAGTCTCAGCTGCCTCGGCAGTCTCGGCTGCGTACGGCCGTTAACAGTTCAATTGACTGAAAAGCAAAAAGTAAGAAAAGTAAAAAATCAAAGAAAAAAAAAATAAAAACAAAATGTGAAGACAAGAGAACCGAGCATGAAGGAAGCATGTAAGGCAAGCATGAGTGGTGGTCACCATTTACACTAACACAAATGTCCGTCTGCGTTTTTGGTCACGAAACAGCACGAAATGCTGGCTTGTGCCTCGCTCCACCTGTTTTGAATTCGAAAACAAAAAGTTTTCCTACAAAGCCAAGTGCCAATAAAAATGTACATTTGATAAATGGAGCTGTACTGCAGGTCTTAACTGTCAAAATTAATTACACGTAATTTTTATTTTAATTATTTTTATTAATGAAGGCAATTGCCATCATTGATATCGTTATTATTATTATTTTCTAATATACATATGAGGTGAATATGGTTTTTTCTTATAAAGGAATTTTATTTATTAAGGAATTTTATTTATTAAGGAATTTTCTTTATTAAGGAATTTTCTTTATTAAGGAATTTTTTTTATGTTGTATTATAGTATTTTTAAAACAGCGATAATATAAATAAATCTGAATATATAAAAAATTATTGATTATTATTATTAATTATTATTATTATGTTAAGCCTTTTCCGAGTTAGTGCATCTGAGCACTTTTACTCCTTGATAACTGGAGAGTTTCTGCAGAGTCCCACCCATCTCACTGACTAGACTACTTTGTGTACTCCTCATAAGCTTCGTGATTATTTAATGACTGATCTAAGATCGGTTAGTGATTACTCTGAGATTAGATAGTGCTAAGTAGGGCAGCCTGTCGGTTTTAGCATATAGCTTCAGCGCTGTGTCCCTTATGTATTTTTTGACCGTATCTATTCTAAGGTCTCTTAGCATGTCATTCGTGCGGATGTACCATGGCACTTTGAAGAGTCTACGGAGAGGCTGACTTTGAGCAACTTGTAACTGCTGGATAATAGAGTCGGCAGCTTTACTATACGCGACACACCTATAAAGTAGTGCTGGTCTGTAGATTATCTGGCTGTAGATCAGCTTTTCGTTCTTCGCGCTGAGGTTGTTGTGTTTGAAAAGTGGTTGTAGGCATTATAGTGTTTTTGCCGTAATTTTTTCTATCAGAGTTATAAAAATTTAAAAGCATTCAACTTTTAAAATATGTTAAATGAAAATATAATGAATAATAGAAGAGTAATGGTAAGCATTTTTTATCTTATTGTTTTGATATATTGCGATTTGTTATGGTTGGCAAGACTAAAAATTGCAATATATGATAATATTTCTTCGTGTGGGAGTAATAAGAATTTATTAAAACGCACGGTGTGAGAAGACTTCTATATAGCGAACTTGAGAAAGTGTCTGTTATTAAATCTGACAACTAATTAAACCTTCATCGTTATTTTAAAAAGAGTTTTTCTGATAATGGTATTACTATTTATAAGGATGTGAGATGATTATTAATTTTTTGGTTACAAGGAGTTTATTTATGATATATAACGATAATGTAAATAAACTTAAAATTTGTATTTCAATAAATGTTTTGTTGAAAGAAGTGTTACTATTTTATTAATAATTATTATTAATAATTCTCTTAATGAAAAGAGCTCATTTATGTAGTTGACTTCCTCTACCTTAAACATAAAACTGTTATTTTGAATTTCTACCATATAAATTGGTTAATAATTCTCCGGACTTTTTGATGATATATACTTTAATTCACGTCTTCTACTTTAAAACTAAAAACTAGATTGATATGATCTACAGTTTCGCTTTGTTTTCTTAAGTTGCGTTCTCTTTTTCTCAATTAAATCAATATTTTGACATCACGTCAACTAAGACTGCTACTTCTTTTTATTTTTGACTCGAATCTTGAACTTGTAAATCACCTAATTTTTCATCTTTAAATTATTTTAGCTAACATATTAGCATTTTTGTCTTTGTTGACAAAATCATGAGTTTTGAAACTACAAAGCATTATATACCATATTTATAATATTATATGGTATATGTGATCAAATCCTACATTCTTCTCGAGATAAATACGAAAATAAGTTAAGTACAGTAGTCTAAACATACTATAATACATATTTAAATCATTTACTTAATTTCAAATCAACTGTAACAAATGCATAATATTCTTGCGTTCTTATAATAAATTAATATTATGGATATTGCATAGATATTGTACAATATACACAAACAAATTATATAAAACAAGTCGTTACAATATTTTGTTACATGTCTTAAATGTAAAACTTAAGGAACTAATTATACCACCTAAAAAGTGTAGCGCAAATTCAATTAAAATGTACTAAAGCATTTATTTTTTTACTCTGCGGTGCATAAAAAAGGTTTGCAATGCCGCTGCCTAGAAAAATTGTTGTTGATATACAATAAATACTAAATAAGTAAAAAAAAATTAAAAAAAATATTGGAATGACTAAATCAAATAAATTAATTTTTAATAACACAATGGCAAAGAATTGATTAAGACCAGTTAAACTACAAATTGTGTAAGAACGTGTAATTTGCAATTGGAACCTTCAAGTTAAATATTTAATTGTGGTAAGAACTTTAACTGTTAAGTAAATTATATACTAGGGTCTAGAGTGAATTTTTGTTTTTTTGCAAGGGTTTTCGATGAGAACTTTTTAAACTGCATTTTTTTTTCCATATTTTAACACATATATAATGTGTAAGAAAAAGAAATCCATTATTTTACCATTAGAGGACTTTAATTATCTGTATCCGGGGTTCTACAAGTCTGATCGAGTTACGCTAGATGGCATTAAAATATGAGATTTCATACTAAAAAAATTTTTGACAGTAATTGATTGACTCAGTTTTGTTTAAGCTCGCGTCAGAGATGGCACTAGTAAAGAGAAAATAGGTCCCATTTTACAGTTTTTCTTTGATAAAGGCGAAAACGCATGCCAGGCGGCTGAAAATGTGAATAGTGTTTATGGTCCTGATACTGTAATAGCTCCAATAATTAAGAACGTCAAATATGCACCATAATTAGAAATTTAATTAACGAAAATGTCAACAAAATCATGAAAATTGCCGAGTGCGACTGTATATAAGCACTGTTTCGATTGCCCAAGAGCTAAGGTTTGCACAAAAATCCTTAGATGCTGGATACAAAAAGAAGCATAATGTATGAGTGCCACACAAGTTAGCGCAAAAAAACCTCATGAATCGAATTACCATCTGCGAACCGCTGCTGCATTGCAACAAAAACGACCCATAATTGAAGCAGTTGGTGACTGGTGATGAAAAGTGGATCCCTTACGACAACCGTCAAGCGAAAACATTTGTGGTCGAATCGCGATAAGTCGGCGAAACGATGTCCAAGACAGAATTGACGACAAGAAAGATTTTGCTGTGTGTTTGGTGGGATTGGCAGGGAATCATTTACTATGAACTGCTCCTCTACGATAAAACTCTCAACTCGGAACTATACCGTTCGAAGGAAGCAATCACGCAGAAACGGCCAGCTTTAGGCAATGAGACAAATTGTATTCCATCAAGACAGTACCAGGCCACACAATTCAATATTAACTCGCCAAAAGCTTCGCGAGTTTGGTTGGGAAGTTTATATGCATCCATCTTATAGTCCAGACCTGGCATTAAGGTATTACCAACTGTCTTTATAGAGAAATTAACTTGAAAATGGAAAGAAGTTATCAAAAAAAGGTGCATATTTGACTTAAATCAATCATTTCAATTACAATAAATAAGCCTTCAATTTCATGCAAAAAAATTGAATTTCTTTTTACCATACCTATTATTTAATAGACTACCCCTGTACATACATACGTATGTATATATTTTTAATAAAAATGCGGCGTTTACACTGACTATACTTTGGCAAGATTTTTATATTCGAATACCATAGTCTAGACGTCCACTTAGGATTGTGATAGCTACTTAAAGAAATATATAAGAAAGACATCTTTAAAAAAATGATAAGTTAAGATTAAATAAACAACAAACAAAACTACATAAGCGACTTTAACGAACAATTTTCTTGAGGGGTAAGCAATTAAACATAAATTTTAGTAACTGAGGTTAATACAGTAACTTTTAATGTCTACCAACAATTAAATTTTTGCAAAAGCGTAAACGTACTTGGCTAATTAGAAAACCAACAATAAAAATATATAAAAAAAAACTCGAGAAAATGATTAAATAAAATTTATTTAAAATTTGTCATCGCAGTTAAAACGCTTTCGGGCTTTCGGACAACTGTGGTTTAGCCAAGTCTGAACGCATTTGCGAAATCAATCCATATTATTATAAAGTTTTTCTAACTGATTTTTTTATCTTTACCTTTTCTGTTTTAAAAACCAAAACCATATTACATTTAATGAACCTCTGCGTTAAGTTATGAGAGCTACGGAACAATATTTATTACAGACACTGTACAGTGTTATTTAGATAGACGAAGATGTGAATGTAAGGCTAAAATATTGGGGGTATTCAGTCCGTCTTGCAAAGTCTGTCTTGCAAAAGGCATGAAATTTAAGAATGGTATACTAAAATAGCAAGAGTGCGAGAAAATCTCTGTTGCAGATTTGTAACATTGAAATTAAACAGCTGTTTTTGCAGCATACCACATCCACATGAGAAGCGACAGATTTCAAAACACCTGTTTTTTTCAGTTTTTTGTTTTATTGCAAGCATATATATATGGGTTTAGGTATAGCAAGATTGCAAAGAATTGCAAGAAACTTTAGACGTGTTTTATTATTGATAATTGCAAGCTTGCGCAATCTGTAAATTTAATGCATCTTGCAATGAGTTTTCAAGACAGGCGGAATGCCTCTATTTTTTTATTTAAAAGGATCGTTAGCAAGTAAACACATATAAATATTTTCATGTTTAGTTTAACTTGATCGGAAATTATATTTATTTTGGTTGAGAATAAAAGATTTTCTTCAGAGATAGCACTTTGAAAAGAATGGATCCTAAAAATTGCAAAATATGATTGTCACTTCAAATAATAATAATTATTTGTTATAGTATAATTTAAAGCATGCTAAAATCCAAAAAAAATGTGAACGACAGAACACAGGAGAAGTGATTAGTTGTGACATAATAATCATAAAGCCAGATAAAGCAAATATATTATTGTCTATTTAGATTTCAAGTAAAATTCTATAATTTTTTGTAAGTGCTGTAAAAATTTCTTTGAATCAATAATAAATAAATAATAATAATACACACAAAGCAAAACAGCATAATAATACAAATAATACAACGTCAATCTGATTACTTAGCACAAAAAAAAAAAATTGAAAGGGAAAAAGAACTTGAGAAAAAATTGATCTTTCTCATAGGTAAATGTAGTCCAGTGAATTGTTGTTCATATCTAATTGATATGTCAATTAATATAATTAAGAATGTTTCAAGGAAATTAACTTTTTGTGATTTAGTTAGATATGGTAAGATATATTATTAAGGTTAGTAATATTAATGATATATATATAGCGACAATTTTTTATTTTATTTAAGTTTACAATTTATTTTAATTTATAAATTTGAAATAGTATTTTTTGGAAATGTTCAATTCGATAATATTAACAAATAGCATTTTTGTTTGGTTAATTTGGATTCAATCTAGATTAATTGTTGATCTGTCAAATTTTTTTGCCCAATCGTATATTTTTAGAGTACTCCAACAATATTGTAGTAGGGTTAATACATATTTACGTATATCATAAATATATACAATTAGTGAAATCTCCC